TCCTCCAGTCCCCTCCTCACCCTCGTAGCCCTCCGCTGGACTCTCTCCAGTAGTTCCTCATCTTTCTTGAAGTGGGGCGCCCAGAACTGGAACTTTCTCTTCATGGATGTGTGTGCCAAAACAGCGTATTTTTCTCTGTGGAGATGAGAGGTTCGTAACTTTTTGCTTGCACTGGGAGTTGCTTTCCTTGCCTGTCTTCCAGTTGCAGGCTGTTGGACTTTGGGTTTGGGGGTTTTTTTTGCCTTTTATTAAACGTGCAGCTCAGGATTAAGCTTCAATCGGTAACAGTTTGCGGGTTCTTCTGGAGAATTTGCTATAACTACCTTGTCTGCAAGGTGGTGGTCAGTGCTGGGAAAGGTCACCAGCTCATTTAGCCTGTAAGTCCGGTACCAGCACCCTCCCGAGGTGGGGCACGCCTCGCGTCTGAGCGGGGAGGGTGTAAAGCACACGGGCGGGCTCCCAACCTGCCGGCATCGCCCAGAGCCGAGCCGCTGCTCCAGGGCGGGATCTGAACTGGAAACCCACGGTTCCTTATGAACGCCGGCGGGAGATGGGAAGTGAAATTTCATCATCTTGGAATATCCACCGCGTGGATCCGGTGCTCCCTGTGGGCCAGGCTGTGTGTCACCGTGGTTTGCCAGGGTGGAACCAGTTCCTCTCCTGGGCTCATTCTGAGGGCTGGTGCGGTTCAATTTTTTTTCTGCTTTTAAACGGAAGACGAATCCAGAAGAACTAAAATGCAGAAACACAAATAGAAAACCTAATACCTGAATATTGTATTGGGTTGTGAGCTGGTATTTTGCTGCCTAGAGAAAGCAAGGCCAGGTAAAAAAAAGATCAGAACTATCTTCAGGTGAGTCACTTAGGTTGTAAATGTATCTCGCTTACGTTCCTGCGTGTAAGCAAGCTTTAGAAAGCTGTTAATAAAGATCGCATTCTAGCAGAGGACACGGCGACAGCTCTAAGAAATGTAAGGAGATGAGAATTTTGGAGCCTGATTAATTGCTGTCGCAATCCTGGGAAGTTTTTTCATACAGTGGAGATGGAAGTGAACGTGTCAGAAAAACGCAGCAGCCAGCAGCAAACTAAATGCCACCCCCCCTAACCGTGAAAGCGCAGTCTGGGTTGTTGGTGGGTGCAGTACCTTGGGCTGCTGGAACAGAAAGATATTTCAGAAGAGCTGTTTTTACTCAAGCCCTTGGCAGCATCTCTGGACATCAAGGAGGAAATACTTCTCCATGGAAAACGTGACTGTAGAGCCCACTAAAATTTGGCACGGGGAATCGGGGCCAGGGGTAATGACCGAATCTGTTTTCCAAGAGTCCGGTTGGTGGCGTCGCCGATAGCAAAGAGCAAGGTTTGAGCTGTCAGACTGGGGCATAATTATTTTCCCTTCACTTCCCCTTAGCCCGCCGCAACTTAATAGTAAGTAATGTGGTGCTGAACAAGCAGAAGCTATAGTAAGTTAACTCCTTGGTCCTAAATGTTTGTTTTATGCAGAACTCTTTAACGGGATGTAGGCAGAATTCGATTTGATTACTTTTATTTTTCCCCACCTGCACTGTGAGAACATTTTATTTGAAAAACCCCTTTATTCAAAACAGTGCAAGTAGGGAAATGACCGTCTGCAGTTAGGAGTTGCTGCAACTCCATAACCAGGCGGAGTTACGCAAGGACACAGCCGGGCAAGGG